AAAGCTAAGTTTAGAGTTATACAACATGCGGTTCAGATGCTTTCCTAGTGAGTTTACTTCATATCTTTGTAACTCTTTTGTGTATTTCACTTTGTTGGAGTTAGGATAAAACTCAAAATTTGTGTGGAATATTTTTGGTGGATTGTGGCTGTTGTAAACACTTCTTATGATAGTGGGCTAAAGTGGATCATTAGATCCCGTGGTTTTTTAATCTCTTCATATTGAAGAGGTTTTTCCACGTAAATTGCTTATGTCCCTTGTGAATTTGGTGGTTGTTTTTCAAGCATATTTGCTAAAGGCTTTGCTTCTCACAGATTCATTCAAGTAGGAAAGGTTTTTGTTAGTGCATTCTTTCCTTTCAATTTGGCCGCTGCTTAGGCCGGATTCCAACCGGCATTCAACACCCCACCAAAATTTTAGTATACTCTTTTATTATCAATTTTTTTTTTCAGTTTGTAATATACTATATAACTAGTAATTCTGTAAGAAATATAAGATAAAATTTACTAGATAACGTTTACAAACATATATACATAATGTAAATCCAAAAATTCTAATTTTTAATTCATAAATATATATATATATACACATAACATTGATATACGTTAGTAACATAAGGCAATCTTGACCAGTGCCGCAAACTCCACCACTTCTTGATGTCCCACCCGATCGCAAATCATCTAGTACCTGCAAAACAGTAAATTAACGGAGTGAGCACTAATTGCTCAGTAGTAACCAAACTACACTACTGTTTTCTCCTTACTCATATTCTGATTTTTCTTTTCTCACTTTATACTTTGATTATACTCTTCGTTCTTTTCTGTTTCTCTTTCTCTTATGCGTACTCTTTCTTTTCTTTTCTGATTCTCTTTCTTTTATTTCTTCTTTCTAGTTTGCCGATCGGACTAGGTTGATGCATGGATTTGGAACCCTGGCCATGTAAGTGGGTACAGTCCTCATCTACATGCACTACTCACGGACTGTACAAGTACTGTACTCTCTACTGTGGCTGCTCGCTCGTGGCAGCGTGCATGTAGGTATGCTCTATTGGGTACAGTCCTCATCCACATACACTACTCACGGACTGACAAATACTATATCTCTCTACTGATGCCCTCGCTTGTGGCAGCGTGTATGTGGGCATCTCTATCACTCACGGGTTCCCCATCTCAAAAACCTTATATCATAGTATAATATAGAAACATAATAGAAAGAGATACTATGCACATTTCAACATGACTTTCCAAGCTATGAAATTCTACACTTGCATTCTTTAAAAAAAAAAAACTACACTTCTAATATGAGCATAGCCTCCATGGTCATTCTTCAATCAAACATATATGTTCATACAATCATTAAATAATCACAAAGACCACTCATTCAAACATGCTTCACACCCTTTAAGCATCATTTTCGTATTTGGAATCAATTATAGATTATTAGACTACAAATAAACTAATAAAGTGGAAGCACTCTTGAAATAGTCATTCTGCACATGTCATATTCAAAAAGGCATATCTCCAGTTAACACATAGGATTGCTATGATCTGGTCCATTTTAAAGCTTAGAGAAAGGGCTACAACTTTATGTTTATGACTCAACCCAGTTCGAAAGATAAGATACCCAAAAATCACTCAGAAGGTCACGGGTTTGACAGGGCAACCTTGGTAACATGCCTACTTTAAGGCTTTTCTATACCTATTACCTCTACTTACTCCCTAACCTTTCCTAACCATTCTACCCTGTGAAAACAGGTTAAAAGATCACTAAAATACATTCAACTTCAAGCTTTCCTTTCTCTAACCCTTTCCTCATTAGGGTTTAGCCAACTCATGCATGCAATTTCTCTTTGGATTTCATCAAACACTTCATATGCACATGCAACTACCTTGTTGGCTACACTTCCACAACTCTCTAATTCAACCAAATTGTGAGCCAAAAACTCACTAATTATGCATCAACCTGTCCATTTTCACAATTCTCTACACTTCAAAAATTTCAACACCAAATCTTCCACAACTTCACCAATCTTTGACATAACCATATACTACTTCTCATGGCTAGAATTAAGACATCAATAAACATCAAAAACAGCCCATAATTCTCTTATACCATCACATACAAACATGCAAAAATTCATTCAACACATGTTTTGCTCAAATTAAGTTTCAAAGTAGGTTTACTTACCTTGAATATGTGAGATCACTTCCCTTTTTCTCCAAATCTCTTTCTCTTGGACCTAAATCATATAAAAACCATAAGAATTTAAAACTTTAAAGTTTAATCACACTCCTTTTTGCTAGAATTTCACCTTAGGATGCTTGAAGATTGAAAATCTCCAAAAATCTAGACCAAATCCTATAATTTTCCTTTGAAGTTTAGTGAAGAAAATTGAGAGAAAAATGGGGTACAGTGGCGTGAACAAGGGCTGGATATGGGTTAGGGTTTCTTCAAATAAAGCCTTATATCAATTAATATAAGCATGTGTTCCCATTTTGCCCTTGCACTTTCTCTAAAATTTCATCTATGTCCCTTAGTCAATTACCACAATGCCCTCATTTTATTGCATTCTCCAGGAAATTCTATCTCTTTTCGCTCCCCACAATTTCAACTAATTTTGAGTGAAAAGACTATTTTACCCTTAACGCAAGTTTAAAGTATTTTCTTCACATTTTCTCAAAATAACTTTAGCAAAAAATCAACTAAAGGTATAAGAGCATAAATTAAATTACGTACCTCCATGTGGGTGTTCACAGTTTCAAATTAAACATATTAGATCGGTTAATACTTTATAGAATATGTTGGGATTATATTGTTTGGATTGTTGGTGATGAAGTTTGTTTGGATTGAAAGAAATTTTAAAGAAGTTAATTAAAATTCTGTAGAAAGTGTGCAGGGTGACGATGAAAAGTGTGGGAGGATGAAAAAGAAAATTTTGTAAATTTTATTAGTTTAGGGCAATCTATTATAGGTTAATTAAAGGGTAAAAAAAAAGTCATTCTAAGAGTTAATAACTATTAAGAAATGGGGGTTATGAGTAATCATTTTTGTTTTCTGTATTACCGTTGAAGTGGCAAATATATAGAGGTTTTCCATAAATATCCCTTTAAAAAATTGTATCAATATTATGATACGGACATCCAATACTTTTCAATAACAATGGTAAATAAAATAAACCCATATTATATTATTCATTTTAAAAACTAACTTTAAAATTAATATTCCTCCCCGTATTACAACGCATATATATATGAATCTCTTAAACCATAAAATAATAGAAAAAGTGCTTAAAATAAATAATCTTATAGTTTCATAAAGTTAATCTCTTAACTGTAATTTGCTTTTTTTCTATTAAAAAAAAAAAAAGCAATTATTAAGAAAGAAACAATTATTTTTTTATTTTCATGCCTCAAATTTACATATTATGAACAAAATTTTCGTAGAATGATCAACCGACAAATCTCTCCAACAAATGCATTTGAGACTAAAGTAATAAAATGTATCTAAAATTCAGAGTGGCTCTTTCTGACAATCTCTAGTGCATCTGATCATCACTTAATTAGGACGTTAACCACATCCAATGAAATTAATAAAATTAATCAATAAAATATGTATAGCAATGCAACTCAATCCAACAGCACAAATCAAAACAAAATCCAAGTTAAAAAAGAGTAAATGACATATTCTCACCCAAGGTTTGACAAAATCCTATGTTGGTACCTTTATTTCCATTTATTCAAGATTTACACCCTTAAAATAATACTATTAGCAATTTTTAAGTTACAGATGGTGCTATTATCATAATGCCCTTAACAAATAAATTAATAAATTATATTATAACCCCTAAATTACTAAAATTGTAAAATTAACCATCTTATTTTTAAATTACTTCAATAACACACTCGGTGACTGCGTATTCTCTCGGTTTTTGCCAGATCTGGGTTGTTTTCGATAGCGTTAAACCCCCTGGTCACCTCCATCACCTTCCCCATCGTCCGTCGTCCAAAACCCCTCTGGTTCCCAACTCATTGGCCTCTTCGATCGTCGGTGCCATTAGGCTTAGGGTTTCACTGTTCTTTGCTGGATTCCGATCGATTCCAACAATGAAAATCCAATTGGACATCACCATTGCAACCAGCGTCTCCAACTTTACAAAACCCCTATATTCCTAGCAACCGTTTAATCATCGTTCACCGGTCAAGAGTTCGTGTTCATCTTAATTTTTGGTGAAGTGGTGGTTAGCGATCGACGAGTGATGAGGGGTTATAAAGGGCATGGTTTTGTAAAGGGGAGGATGTGGGTTCGAATGGTAGTGACAAAGGTGATTTTGGGTGGAAGAATCATTGCAAAAAGGCGAAAAACGTCAACAGTGACGTCAGCCAACGTGTGTCAAAGCACTGTTAGGAGCAACGATCTGCTAACATACGTCTCCTCCTACAAAATGACCAATTTACCCTTTAACCTTTATATTCAACAATTTTTCATCACTTTACGGGTGAGAATCTAGAATAAATAGAACGAGTACCAATTTAGGATTTCGTTAAACCTCAAGTGGGAATATGTCGTTTACTCATTAAAAAATAACAATATTTTTCCTGTTTCCGTTTCTTCTCTCGGATACATCATACATGGGCTTACATTAGAATGTTGGCTAAACTGTAGACTGGAAATTGCAGATATATTTCAGAAACGTTGTTCTACCACAAAACAACCTATAAATAATGATCTGGAGTTGCTGAACGGGAATAGAGCAGTAAGGTAATAACCAAAAAAGCAGAAGCTTCAGTGCTAACAACTTCACAATGATAAGTTTGCCCCTTCAGCCTCAGGGTGAGGAATTGCTTGAATCTACAACTAATTAATGCTACTTTGATGTCTCTGTCAATGTTTCTTCTGTTTCACCACCGTGAACCAGCTGGGAAATGGTGAAGACAATTAATAGTTGTAGTCAAATGAAGAACACAAAATATAAATACAACAGAGGAATAATTTGCTCATACCAAGGAGCCAGCTTGTTCATATGCTTCCATAACTTTTGGATTTTCCTCATCCTCATAGCCAACTTGTAATATTCTTGGTCCATTTAAAGACCAAAAGGCTCTCCGGCCTGCCTCCTGGGGAAAAAAAAAAGACATGAGACTTATCATCAAGATAAGATTTCTCCAAGAAGGTCAATACAACAGAAAGCAGACAGGAAGAACAACATAATTCTATTCAGGAAAAAATTATGCTTCTCCCTGGACTCAACACGAGAGAGTCCTCTTGAGAACACAGCTTCAGTGGCCCACATAAGTAAGCACTAAGCACTACATCCAAAGTAATTATCCACTTTCAAATTTATTGGTTCGATTTGATGATATCGACATAATTATCTGTTATCATTGATTACCCTAAGTCACCATGGAGAGAAAAAAGAGGTAAATTACACCTCTTGATATTAAAAATTAACTAAACTGCAAAACATAACCTAAGCCCAGAAAATCTTGACAGTAAAACCAATAACATAGCATGTTTCATTATCCTACATCTACATAAAAGACTAAAAGATTTAAACAACCAATTATCTGTAATATGATTGATTATCCTTGATCACAATGAAGAAGGAAATAAATAAATAAAAATAAAAAGGGAGGTGGACTACACCTCTTGATATCAAATAATAACTAAACAGCTACTAAAAAAAAGAAGTCACTGAACAACCTGCAATGTGAGAAGGTAAATAGATTCCAGTGCTTGAACACGAATTTCAGGATCATCAACTGGTTCACGCTCAATCCTTAGAGCACTTCCAAGTTCAAGTGGCATTTTCGATATGTCTTCTTCGCTATATATCTGGCCAGAAGCAGCGAGATCTCATAAGTTATTGTGTTGCATAGAAACAAGAAACAAGGTTGTAAAACATCCAAGATTGCAGAATATTGGCAGAAACAATAAACTACCTTCAAATTAAGAACATAGGAATCCAATGATACAATTTTCAGATCAAATCAAAGAATGAAAGTATCTTCTAAGATCACTAATGCAGCTGTAGACTAGCAGCTACATTCTCTGTAAAGTGATAATTGGAATAATACCACCAGATAGCATAATATGTAAGCAGAACATAACCTAACAGCCAATGAGATTCAGTGAAGCAAATATTTCCCACCAAAAAAAAATTTGAAGAAAGAGCTTTGGCTGCGTTTGTTTCATTATTTCACCACTATCCTATCCTTATTCCAAATACAAATGCGTGTTTGTTTTCTTATTTTCAAAATCATATCCTAAATTAAGAAATTTTTTAAACCCCCTAAATTTGTTAATTGACAGAAACACCCCCAACAATTTTTTTTTTATAAATTAACAAAAACACCCCCACCCACCCATAGTTGCCAGATTCCGGCAAACCACCATTGGTAGTGGCCGGAATCTGTCACAACGGCGCACTACCGGCCGGTAATGGGTTGATCTAGCCTTTTCCGGCCAGCTCCATTTTTCCTAGATCTAGCCTTCAACGACGGCCATATCTTTGGCCGTCATTGACGGCCAGATCCGTGGTAGATCTGGCCGGAAAAGGCCAAATTGGCGAACAACTGCCCAGATCCGGCCGGTTGTGCGCCATAATGCCAAAATTCGGCCAGATTTCGGCGGTAGTGGCTGGAATCTGGAAACTGTGGGTGGGTGGGAGTGTTTTTGTCATTTTACAAAATTTTTGTATATTGGGGTGTTTAGTTAAATTAGCAAACTTAGAGGTTTTTTTTGTTAATTTTTAAATTCTACCTCGTAATAATCACCCAACTCTATTTACCAATAATATTTCAAAAATACTACTCAAAATAATAAAACAAACACGCCCTTATAATTTTAACTGCAAGATCAAGAAAATGCTAAAGACATTACTTTGTTGCCAGCAACTGGAAGTAGTAGAGCTGGCCAAAGAAACTCAGAAATCAGAAGCAGATTCTGCAACTGATGCTCAGCTTCAAAACAACAGTTCCGAATTGTTCCAGAAACCTGCAAGCAAAGGACCATCACCAAAAAAGTCAAGCCAGATCAGCAATGGGCTAATCACAATTAATTTAGTTGAATCTATCTTGAGCTTTACTACTCAAGCTTAACTAGTGTAAGCCTTAAACTAGATAATTTGTTGAGCAAGGAATCTTCACAAGACATCAAGTAATCAGTCAATCCAGCAATCACCAAAAGTTTACATATCTCTTTTCCTCGTGCACTATTCTTTTTAACTTCTGATACTATAGTCCTATCTTTCATTAAATTTCTCATCACGAGACACTCTCACAACTGAATGCCAACATCAAGTATGGTTAATACATTGAAAAGCTTCTCAGAGCCATTCTTATAAAAGAAAATGCTACAGAGGGCAGAAAGTCAGACATTGTCCTAGTAAGGGCCAATAGTTATCAAATTTCACAGCAGCCAAAGAGATTATAAACCCCTACATCACTATGGATGATCTAAAGAACAATGGCTTTGTTCAACAAATTTTATATATTGGCTAAGCATCATAACAAGACAAAGCCTAAATAACAGAACCTAAAGTTGAAAGAAGAACAAGTAGAGACCTACAATTTGTGAACTTCACTTGCTAGGTTTATTTTCTTCCATTATTAAGTTGCTCATCCAATTAAAAAACGTATACATAAGTGAAAATTTTGCTGATTAACAGTCCTCTGGAAGAAATTTAATACTTTGCAGTAATCTTTCGTTCATACCCCTTTCTTTCGCAACGGACTAGTTGAATCAAATTGTCTAATAATCTGCTTTAGCAGTCCTCGATTTTGGTCCAATAAAATCTTCCTTCCTGCTTCTTTCTTCGAAATATTTACCAGTATGGAACCAACATGTTCAAATGGATCATCTGGTTCATAAGAGGAAACATAAAATGTTAGACCAAATTGTGGATAAGTAAAAGATTAATAGAGTTGTAAGTGCAGGGTAAAAACACACACACACACACACACACACACAAAAAAAAGGAATGAACTCATGCTTTTGTAAATTTCAGGAAATAACCTCAAAACAAGGTGCCTATCAACTGCCAGATATTGGGACTCCTACCAGATGAAGCCTATAATTTTATCAAAAATCTCAAAAAAAAAGTTCTGAACATTCCACAGAATTAGAAGGCTAAGACCGCCATTCAAAGCCAGTCCCATAACCACCTAAATATCTCTAATAGAACAACCATGTAAAGTAGAAACAAATAAGGTGTCATTCACCAACTAGGATACATTTAGGACTCAATCCAGTTATCAGAAACACTAAATTTTTTATAAAAATAACCTTCTCTATTTTTGAGGCTACAAAACAGGATAAAATTCAGTATAACAGGAAAGAAGAAAAACCTACCACTAGTTTCACCGGAGGATCTACAGAAAGATCTTACAAGCTTCATAAGATACAATCCTTGAATCCGCTCATCGTCAGTCTACTACACAGGCAAATTCACACTGTCAATAATTAATGTTTGGCATAAAATACATAATCATTATTCACTATCTTTAGGCATATACGAGATCATGATTACTTAAAAGATAATGCTCTTTTAAATTGGAAAAAATACAAAAGCATCAGTGATAAACTGACACTTGCATAAAATGAAGGAAAGTACCTGAAGCAAGGAAGAGATGCCATCATCCAACTGTGTGAGATTCACTAAAAGCATAACCAGCAATCGTGTAATACTTGAGTCTGGCTTATATAACAAATCCATAACCGTTTTAATCATACCCATTTGAACCATCTTCACAGCTAATTGAGAATTCTGGGATAGATTTACAAGTGCTTCAGCTGCAGGTTCTGAAACCTCCTGAAATATTAACAAATAATTAATCCAAAATCCTACCCAAGGGATAATGATAACAACAACACAATGCTATGCATCATATTCATGAAACCAAACTCCCAAAACTAAGTTGATCTATATCTTCCATAATTCTGTTCCTTATTCAAGCAGTTCTTTATATGCCAAAATTGCCACAGGCCTAAAATTTTCTATATCCAATAGATGTTATGCCAGCAATATTTGTTTTCCTTTTGCTCTTATTTTGTTTGGCAAGCTGCTGTAAGTTTTTCATTAGATCTTTAATATTTTTCCCATGAAATTCACCGTTTATCCAAGTTGAATAACAAACACTCTAAATTGATAAAAATGGAGGAGTCTTACTATATGAACAAAATCTCAATTAAAAAATGACATATTTGGATAGTCCTGATAAATTTAGATACTCCTTTTCCTGCTTCTAACTTTTTGTCACCAAAAGACTCAAAAAATAGAATCCACCAGAATTTCAAATTTTAATGCTGTAAATACAAATAACACTATCAATTTCTTCAAATGTGCTTAGTATTCCACCAAAATCAACAGAATTTCAAAAAAATATAAATGAAACAATGATTTCAAAAGTTTAGAGCTTGTTGATGAGAATGAGATTTAGAAGCATCATCCTGTAAATCAATATTAAAGTAACATTAATTTTCACAAAGAGAATACCTTATTTTCACTCAAAAGCCGAGACAGTGGTGGCAACGCCATCTTGGCATACTTGGAAAGCGACTGCAGGCCATCATCAGACCCGGTTAATCCCCGAATAATATCAACAGCTGCCTTCTTCAACTAATTTATTTGCATAAAACAACACATTCATTACAAAATTTACAAACAAAAATCAAGAAACAATTATTGATATCGAATAATCATGAAAATATTAGTAAGCTAATTTCCTAAAAGATCAATAAATAAGTTCTTTTTCTTTCTACTAGTGACTCAACCCAGCCGTATGAATCTCAATATGATCAGACAAAGAGAATCCAACTCATGAATTTTAACAAATTAAGCAACCACAAAAGAAAACATAAGGCAGAATTAATTAAATTAAAAAGAGAGAATTAACAAATTAATATAAGAATCACCAAAAATTTTAAAAGTGAATCAAAGAACCTTCTTTATATAGGGAGGATTTTACACATGAATTCCATTAATTAGACACCAGAACAAAAATTCTACCCTAGCCAATGCCAAAAAAATTAAAAAAAAAAAAAAAAAAAAAAAAAAAAAAAAAAAAAAAAAAAACCTCATAAGAAACTAGAGCTACATCAGTTTATATAATTTTTTTTTTCACAACTACTTTACTGCAGCTTCTCAGAAACCAAACAGAGTGTTAGAGGAGTGAAAGAAACTTACTGGAGGAGATGGAGAAGATAGAAAATCCAGCAACTCTTCCATCTCGGTGGCCATTGCTGCTCCTCTGGCGCTGTGTGCAAATTTTACATGTATTTATCGATCGTCAAAACGACTGCGTGTTGGTTGCTACGTCCAATCAGCTAAACGCAGCGTTTCAATTATTATGTCCTTACACAATTTTGATAAATGAACTAATGAAGTAATGAAACGAGGTGAACTAAATCCAAATTTAAAAGTAAAATATTCCCTTATACTTTAAAAAAAAGCAACTAAAATAATCAATTATTCACTTATAAATTTTCTATAATATTACTCATTTTATATAGATGCCAAAAAAACTCATACAAAATTATGTATAATCCAATTATACTATATAGTGATAATTATTTTCCTTGTTTGGTTTTAATTCTAAACCAAATAAGAATATTATTAATTAGGATTCCTAATAGCATTAATATATATTAAATATATTAATCAAATTTTTCAATTAATATTAAATATAAACATTTAATATTAATTAGGGTAATTTAATTAATATAATTAATACTAATATATTTAATACATATATTAACTATTAATTTGGTAATTTATTTATTACACAATAAATACACATAGGCTAGAATTACCAAATCACCCTTGTCTTTGTGAAAAGATCAAAATACATTTGAACCCTTCTTTGATTAAATACACATTCTACAATCAAACTCTCCTTATGTGTGTGACCCGTAGGTTCCTTATTATGTTGATAATGAGTAATATCGCGATTAATCACCAATTGATCGTCTCATTATTTATAGGCCAAGATTGGCATCTACCAAGACGTCACGACCACTCAACAGGTAGAGATCAGCGAAGAGCTGATACTTGTCAACAGTATGGTTACCATGCAATCAACCATTTCATCATACATTATCTCATCAAGGCGGAGGTACAAAAATAATGTCATCCTCTGATCATCTTGATATATTTGGTGTTTGGTTATCGAACTAACAATCGAAATTAAATTGGATTTGAGCAACAACTCAATTCCATTGTGGTCACGGATTTATGGTCATTGCCATATAATCAAACTACGCAAGGAGATAACTTCTCCTGTAACTAAGAGTGATGAATCCTTTGTTGATCCATCATAGCCATGATATATGTCATGATGTAGCCAATCACCATCGTATTGGTAACCCTAAAAAGGATTATGCTAGGCTAGTGTCAAACCACACTACTACGTACACATGACACTCCGATGATCTTAAATCTTATGATCACATGCACCACCATCCATAAGAGGATTTGTTCCATAGATATTAGGTTTACCTTCTACATGGAGTTCTCTAATGGGTCAGTCCAGAGAACTTGCATCTAGCAAACACCCACGCGTTGCACCAAGTTGTCACCTAACAACTTTGACATATGAGACCTGTCACTACCTTTCAATAGGGCCGTTCAACACTGTAGTAGTCTTACCACATTATCTATGCCATAGGTCAAAATAATACTAGGCTATGGACGTTTGTAGAACGACCACCATATGTGCTTATAGGGATCTCACAATCAAAACTTAAAACGGTTGATTCCCTCGTTGTGGTTCTACCATCCTATGGATATATATTATAACATACATGAGATACGAATTACATAATATAAATATTGCCTTTATTAATATATAAACATGATACATTAGAGTCAATTATAATAAATTGATTGGCTCTAGGTCACCTACTCTAATAGGTGTATCAGCTTCGAAGAAAACATGACAATAGCCGACCTATCGAACAACAAGTAACTAAACAACGAGACTAGCAACATAACTAGATGATTCGCCATTTTAGGTACAGAGAGTGAAAAAGAAAGAGATAGTAATGTATAATGTGAGAGCTTTATTGAGCTTGAGTGCTAAAGTGATGTGTAGTGCGCACTAGCTAAGGCCAATAATTCGTTGGAGGTTTTTTTTTTTTAAGTGTGTCATGTGAAAACCTAGTATACACTAGTAGCAAGTTGGGAGTGCGAGAGTTGCTATTGCTAAATGGCAAGTCATGATCGTTTGGGCCAATGAGGGCTCAAATTTTAAATTGAGAGAAATGATAACGATGATGGTTAACAATTAATCCCCAACCCTAGAATTTGATTCAAGCCATGACCAGAGCCGATACTAGAATCAATCGACAGATATAAGAGAGGAAAAATCAAATCAGTGATCGATTTGAAGAATGGAAGAAGAAAACAAATCGAATTAAGGGAGGAAAGATGAATATCGGGAAGGGAACTGTTATTGACAAAAAAGGGCACGACTAGGGTTAGGTTTCTTGAGAATGAAATTGTAGTAGAAAAAGGGTGAAAGCCGAGAGGAATATGAAGAACAAATGAAATCAATAAGATAAGAAAAGGTGGATGCAGAGATTCTAAGAAAGGAGATGTGACTGTGAGAATGTGAGATCCGAGAGGAAGATGAAGAACAAATGAAATTGAATTCCTAATTTATATGAAATGTAAAATTACAAAATAAACCCCAATTTTTACAAAACTTACATTTGCCCCTAGTTCTAGGTTTCGGTTCTTGAAGTGGTGGAACTGTACCGAAACTGCATAGTACTAGTTCCACCAAATATGGAACTAGAATTGACCCTATAAAGGGTCAATTTCGGGTAGGAACTAGAATCGACACCTTGGGTGCCCGTCGATTTTGGTTCTACCCTACAAATTTGCATACCCTTATTGGGTATTAAAGTCAAGGTTAGGTATACTTGGTCCCAACCATAAAAAATAAACCCTGGATAATTTCCCAGATACATAGAGTAATACAATACACTAGGATTGAATTCAAGGATAGTGGTCTCAACCTTAACCTCGGTTTTTATCATCCCTAAAAGTGGCTATAAAACCACAAGGTTAAGTCCTTGGAGGCATTTCTTGCTAATGACTTGTGTCAACCAATTTTTGAATACTTAATGTTAATTAAATAAAGTTTAGTGTAATCAGTAATGTTACTCTTTTCTAAAAATGTTTGAAATTTTGTATTTTAAATGATGTGTTGTTCCATGTGGTATTGATATATCAATTCCAAAGGGTGAGTTTGTTTTAGTATTTTTGATATTTTTAGAGTTGGGTGGGAATAACGAGGTAGGATTTAAAAATTAACAAAAACACCCCCCTAGGTTTGTTAAATAACTGAACACCCTTATACTAAAAACATTAAAAATTATAAAATTCCCCACCCACCCATTAAATTCCGACAGCCAGCCACCACCGTTGGAGGGTGGCCGGAGTTGCCGTATCAGCACATGACCGATTGGATCTGGTCGGTCGTACGCTGAGATGGCCTTTTCCAGTAAGATCCAACGTGGATCTGACCGAAAAAGGCTAGATCTATAGCCAAATCTGGCCGTTGATGACCATATCTTGGTCGTCGTTGACAACTAGCTACTGCTAAAGATTTGACCATCAATAGCCAGATCTTTAGCCTTGGATCTGGCCCTTTCTGGCCAGATCCACGGTAGATCTGGTAGCAAAATGATAGATCAGCGCACTACAGGCCCAATCCAGGCGGTAGTGCACTATTATACTAGATTCCGACCACCTTCTAGTGGTGGTGGTCGGAATTTGACAAATGTGGGTGGGTGGGGGTATTTTTGTCAATTTCTAAACTTTTTTTAGGGGGTGTTTAGTTAAATTAATAAATTTAAGGGGTTTAAAATGCAGTTGAAGAAAATATAATAGTATTTTCAGAATAGGGAAACAAACTGGTATTTTGGAAATAGTATGAATAGGATAGTTAAAAATATTTAAACAAACAGACCCTAATGGCTATATTTGTTTCCCTATTCAAAATACTGTCTTATCCAATCCTATCAAAATACATATTTGTTTCAATATTCTCAAAATCCAATCCTATTCTATCCAACTCTAAATATTTAGATTTTTTTAACCCCTTAGGTTTTGTTAATTTAACTAAACACCTTAACAATAAAAGTTTATAAATTGACAAAAACACCCCCACCCACCCACATATTCCTAGCAGCCGGCCACCACTACCAAAAGGTGATCGGAATCTGACAAAATGGTGCACGACCGACTGGATGTGGCTGGTTGTGCACCGATCTGGCTTTTTTTGAACCAGAAAATGCCAGATCTACATCCAAAGATCTAGTCGTTGATGGCTAGATTTGGCCACATGTGGTCGTCAACGACGGCCATATCTTGGCCGTTGTTGACGGCTAAACGACGGCCAAGATATGGCTGTCATCAATGGCCAGATCCATGGTGAATTTGACTAGAAAATGCCAGATCGACACACTACCGGCCAGATCAACGCACTACTGGCCAGATTCAACCGATCGTGCACCATTCCGATGACTTCCAACCACCATCCTATGGTGGTGACCGGCTACCGACATTTAATGGATGGGTGGGGGTGTTTTTGTTAATTTTAAAACTGTTATTGTAGAGGGTGTTTAGCTAAATTATCAAATGTAGGGGAGTAAAAATAATATAAATATTTTCAGAAATTTTTTTCCAAAAATTTACCTAACACATTTTCAAATTCAAATCCTATTCTCATAATAACAACCCAACTTAACTTTTTCGAAAATACTATTCTAAATACTCTACCAAACACAACCAATAGTATCATATTCCAAATTGGATAGGGTTTTAAGTTGGTTATATAAGACAACTTAAAAGTAGGTTTAATAAGAGAATTCATTCAATCAAAAATTGAGAGAATTTTTTAGAGAGAAAGACCCTAGCAATTGGGATTTCCTTTGATTAATCTGGAAGGCTCTCTGTGTGGTTACTGAAATGTGATTCTGCCCTTGAATCGAGTTGCGAAGAATCAAAGAGAAGGAGCCTCCAAACGAAAGTAAGTAATTCACTACCTTGTATGTGAATTAACATGTAAAATAATTAAATCAATACCCGGATCATGGGATTAAGGTTTAATAAAATTTTAAAAGACTATTCCGCTGCATATTTTGATCAAATTATACCTTACAACACCTATGTTCCGATGAAGCGAAAGTGAGATGGATTTCAAGAGGTGGTAACACGTCGGTTGATGATTC